GTGTGTGTTATTAACGGCTAATAATATATTATAATGATACTCGTCGTATTGATAACTAATCGTCGTAATAATAATTAATTAAACTGTAATTCTTACGAATCAACTGTATTTCAATCTGTACGTGGATGTAATATACAAAGTAAGTTAAAAATAACAATAATTAAATAGTTTATTTCTTTGTTAAAGATATATATATGATTCTATTAATAAAAATTGCCAAAATTATTTTTTTCTATTCTTTCTATTTTTATGTTTAAAGTATTATGTTATAACAATTTTGAAAGGCATTTTATTATAATTATTTGTTTTTTTTAATTAAAAATCGCAGATACGTAAAACAAGTATCGTCATGAGATTCCTAAAGTTGTCACTAATAAATTTTGATATAATACTGATCATAAACATGGTCTTTTGTTCCAATGATAATTTAAAAATTATTCGTTTACCCAACAATACGAAACCATTTTATTATAAGATTAATCTGATAATACCGCATCTCGAGGAAATCAACCCTGTCTTTTATGGTGAATCTAACGTCGATCATAATTCATCGTGCAACGAAAAATATAAGCTTACACTCAAGAGGATTAGAAATAAATGAAATAGAGACAACATTAATTGAACTCGAGCCTTATACATTTTATAAACTGATAAAACATTCTTATGACAATGTAACGAATATTTTAACACTTCATTTTGAAAATACATTATTTGAGGGATTTTACAATCTTAATATGAAATTTTCTGGCATTTGAGACTGATCTTGTAAACAGAGGTTTTATGAAATTTCCGTACATAAATGAAGAAGAAAAAAACGGCATGTAAGTTAATATCAAAATATGAAAAATATATTTACAAATGTAAATCTGACATGAGCAGAAAATTTGTTCGATATTTAAGATATTTTTAACCTTAACCTTAGCTATATACATATTTTTTTATTCTTAATACATTTGAGTCTCTGGGACCTCCATCCATATTTGTTACCGTAACTGCCGTAAAAATGGACATATTTTAATTATTTTTTTTGTGATCAATGGAGAATTAATTAAGAAATAAATCCATAATGTATAAAAGTCGATAGAATAAAGGAACTTCGAGATATATCCCTATAAAAATCACGTCACACAGTTGCTTGATGAGATCATGTAATTAAAACATGTAAATAACGTAAAGGATTGTTCCAAATCAGTATATGATTTTAAAATTACGTATTTTGAAAAGTCACATAATATTAGGTGTAGTAAAAAAAAATCCATTATTTTTGCATGAAATTGAATGGAAAAATAATGGATTTCTTTTTACTACACCTAATATTATGTTCTTTTTTCTTCTATATCTATCGATTAATTCTTTAAAATTTAATAATTATAAAATGATGGATGAAATTATTTATAATGATGGTGATTTTTCAAATTATATTATTTTAAAAAATCATTGATTTGGAACAATCCGTTATGTGATTTACACGTTGTGATATGATTTTTTTTCTGTAGAGATAGATTCAAAGAAAAAGAAAAGTTAGAAACACAAAAAAATTTTGATTTAGCAAATTGCATTGAAGTTCTGAGACTCCAATCTGTATAACTAGAGTTACATTATAGAATGACTGCAACATATTTCAAACCGAATGGAGCCAAGCAAGTGTTTCCGTGTTGGGATGAGCCAGAGTTGAAAACCATCTTCAACATCTCTGTAATGCATCATCAGAAATACTTAGTACTGTCAAATATGCAAATGCAAAAGCAAGTGACGGGAAAAGATGACATGATATAGACATATTTTGACTTTACTTCTCCAATGCCCACTTATCTTGTAGCGATTGTTATAATCCCCAAATGTGATTTTTATCATCGTTTCAACTATAACTGTCAATATATGGTATAATTTGTCTTTGTTATCGCAAGTAACATTCATTTACAATATTGCTGAAAAAGTTGTGCAATTTATGATTCAATATACCAATAAATCCGAGGAGATATCGAAAATGGATCATGTTTTGATACCGAATTTTCCGGTCGACGGTATGGAAAATTGGGGACTTATCACTTACAAGTAACATATATTTTAATTAAAAAGAAGTTAACACACTATTAAACTATAGCAAACGTTTTTTTTTAATATTCAAAATTTAATAATTAAAAATACAGTATTATGAATGTAATTATTAAGGAATATGTTAGATTACATATTCATGATATTTTACATAATTATATTATTCTATGTTTCAGTGAATTTCATGCTATCTACAATATTAATAAACATTCAATATATAAGAAAATAGAAGTAGCAAAAATAGTAACACGTGAACTTATACATCAATGGTTTAATTTGGTTACTCCAATTTGGTGGTCTTATTTGTGGTTAAAAGAAGGATTTGCTACCTTCTTAGAATCGTACATCATCGACAAGGTTATTTAATATTTATAATGTATACATATAATAAAAGATGACTTAATTATTGCAAAATAAAGAACTTGAAATATATTTTAAATTAAGAGTAAGTTTAATACCAATATAAAATGAATACTATATTTTTATAAAATATATCAAGATAATACTGAATACATAATAGCTTCTTATTTAATTAAAATTCCATAAAAATTGTAACTATTTATAATAAGTTATAATACATAATTAGATTTAAAGGCATTTTAATACAAATTCATATTGAAAGTTAACCCTATATATAGTTGTACACACTCGAGTCCCTGGGATCCCATCTATATTTCTTACTGTAACTCCTGTAAAAATGGATATATTTCAATTAACTTTTTTTTCAATCAATGGAGAATTAATTAAGAAACAAGTCTCTATAATGTGCAAAATTCGATATGTATCTCGAAGCTTCTTAATTCTTCAAGAAGCTTCGAAATACATAGGCTCCAAGAAACAGAAAAATTCAAAAATATAAAAAAATCTTGATTTTCAGCAAATTGCATTGAAGTTTATCGAACCCCAGTGCATATTGCTAGAGTTAATATGTTCTGTTTTTTATTTAAATATTATCGTATATAGGAAATAGAATAATGCAATAGTTTAATTAGAAAATTTTACTCTATCGTAATCAACATTTAATAAAATAATTTAATAATGAAATAATTAAATAATGAAATTCAATATTATAGGTTTTTATATCTTGAATTTATTTTTATTTTGAGTAATTTCCAACATTTTCAGAAATAATTAAACTAAATATGCTTACCTTGAAGACGATTTAATACGAAAACGATAATAGAATATTATAAGTATTATGAAAAAGCAAAATAAGGAAGTTGACGACAAATGATTATTTTAATTTCTAATATAAAAGTTTTCTTCAAATTTTTTATATTGAATCACATCAAAGCATTTTTTTCTTTAGATTTTTGAAGGTTGGCGAACGATGGATCTTTTTGTGATTTGGACCTTACAGACTTGTTTGATAATAGATGTTGGCTCATTGAACTCTGTCACATTGATACTGAACAGTACCTTTGATGATATGTCGCAGTATTCTATTGAACTTTATGGAAAAGGTAAGATTAAATATGCACAATAAAATTATATTATTCATAGACTTCTCATATGTAGCACACAAAAGATAAAAGAGAAGATTAAAAGAAATAAAATCTTCTTTTCGCACAATACATATATTTATATATAAAGTATGTTTACATTGGATTTCAATTTTATATGTAGTTTAAATGTTTTATATCTATTTTAAATGTTAATTGGTGTTTTATTGTACAATGTATTATAGCTCCACTTTTATTACGCATGTTACATCATATGGTTACTGATGAGGTATTCCAAAAGGGTCTAATCATCTATTTGGCCAAGAAGTAAGTGCGTATAATATAATCTAACGTAAATAATATTTATTATAATATTAAATCATAAATATAATAATGCTTCTTGTATTCATGTTGAGAAGTATTATATTTTATCAGAAATATGAACTTAGATTCCCAATATTACATTGCTATTAAATTTAATTACTGCAATGAGTCACTTTTAAAATTAGTCGATATAGCTCAACCATTCCGGATGATTTGTGGAGCGCCATGCAAAGTGCTCTCGATGAATCTGATGTCCCGCACGATGGTTACAGAATAAAGGAAGTGATGGATACATGGATGAACCAAAACAGTTATCCTGAGGTAGATGTGCAGCGAACAAGCAGCAAAACTAATGACATAATGACATTATCTCAAAAATGTATTTATAAACAAGAAACTAATAAATGTATTAATAATACATGTATTAATAATACGTGTACCAATGAATGGTACATACCCTTAATTTTCGCTACGAAATCCAATCCGGATTTTTCCAATACTGTGCCCAAAGCCTGGTTACGACCAAATAAAACGTCCATCCGCTATCTACTTAAACGAAAAGATTGGATTATTGTCAATATACAAACTGAGAATGAATTATGGTTTTATATTTTATTTTATTGTAGGCTTTACATCATTCTTTATACATATATTTTTTAATAATTTTATTTATAAAAGCTTAAAAGGAGATTTATATAATTAAATTTTTTGAAACATTGCTAAATGTTAATTAATGTAAAATTATAAATTATAATTAATGTAAAATTATCTTTAATCCATAATTTTTATACTTATTTGTAAGTATTACATTTATTTATTGTATTGAGAAAACGCAAACTTTCAATATTGAAGATACAGTCCCTGCTATAAGTTTGAAAACACGATTTTTTCACATTTTATGAAAAGTTAAATATCTCGATGACAAAAAAATCGTACAGAAGTTTTCAATTACCCATTTGAAGATAATAGGGCTTTAAATCCGCGTTTGAATTTTCTATTTGCGACGTTCTTAATTTATGAAATTAAAAGTTTTTTGCAATATCTTTGTCTTACTTTGAAAAGCTACTTTGATGAATCATCATCCAAAATTTTAGTCGGAACTGTATATTAATAGATTTAATTTAAAAAAAACTTTGTAATAAATATAACGAATAATTTACAGGATACTATCGTGTCACTTATGATATTTCTAATTGGCAAAATTATATAAATTGGAAAAATTTCATATTACTTAAATTTTGAGAATTACACGAATATACACTTTCTTAATCGTGTTCAAATCATCAGCGATTTATTTGCCTCTGTGATGAACAAATAAATAGATCCGTCTTCGTTAGGCTTATAAAATATTTAAATCGAGAGGAAGATATTGTAGTATGGCATTCATTGTTCCCAATTATACAACAATTGTGGAAATATTTTTTCTTGCGGCCAGAGGCCGCACATATCAAGGTAGATTAATAAGTCTCATAAAAGGGATAAAGACATATGTATGTTTTGTAGTTTATTTATAGTATATTAAGCCCTACAATAGCATAAACGGTATAGTTAAGTAATCGTAGTTGTAAGAATTCTTCAATCATAATTGAATATTTTCTTTGTATTGAATTATAATTGTAAAAATACGAAGTTACTTAACTCAATAATACATATATTGATAAAGCAAAATATACATATATAGAGGATTACGCATTTTTAATATTACTACTAAACTATTATAAAATCAATACATGATTTGATGATTCTTAGACAACCATAACGTTACTCCTTGGCAGTTTTCTTCAGAAAATAGGCTTTTCAGAAAGTTCTCATGATGACGATATGGTAAAACTGACAAGGCTAGATACCATAAAATGGGCACTCTCGGTGAGTGGTATTGCAGGAATGAGGCAGCCATCAAATTAAGCGAACATCTCATAGATCCTAATATTTACAAGTAATTTTTCTTACTCTTTCGTAAATTGTCTCTATTTTATAATATGCACATGTCCGCATATATACAGTTGATTTTTTATTTCTTAAAATCGTCGATATTAAATATTCTCCTTATTGATTCCTTTCAATCGTCATTCTTATTCAAATAAGGTAACATAGAATAGCACTAGAAAAAGCACTTTGCAGCTACTTGCAGCTAAGGCACATTCTACAATAAGACATTAGTAATAAAATCAGGAAGTTAGAAGCTATAAATTGACCAATCACATACTACGTTTACATTGCTTGAATTACGTCAAAATTATAATATCGATATTATGAAACTGGTCAATCATAATTATTCCTCTGAAGAATGGAATAAATATGATTGGCCAGTTTCATAATATCGATGTTATAACTTCGACGTAAATCAACATATAAACGTAGTCATAGTCGTGAATATGAGAAGACTAACTGATTATAATTTTTAGCTTCTGATTTCTAATTTATTACTAATGGTTTATTGGTGGACTATGTGTGAGATTCTTTAATGTAATTGATTTATACACTTAGATCTGTAAGGAATTAAGATAAAAAAATCATATCAAAAGAATCATTATCACAGTTACAAAAGTGCTTTTTTTGCTGAACGCTTAATGAATATATCACTGGATATAAGATAAAATATCCAATATTATTTTATTATTAGATATTTATTATTGGATATTAATATTAACTAGTATTATAATCGAGTTTCTTTTATTTATGTTTAATTTTAAATTTGGCCTAGTTTCCATCGAGGATTTAAACCGGATTAGAATGTAAAAACCAACCAATTATAGTCGAATATTCCTCTGTTACAGTCAGGGGAATGCTCGACTGTAATTGGTTGGTTCTTACATTCTGATCCGGATTAAATCCTCAATGGAAACTGTAACATAATCATGTAGCGTGTGACAAATATTATAAGCTATAGAGTAGAGGAGTAATTCAGAACGGAAATTTAATTTTACAAAATAATAATTACTTAATAAAAGAATATAAAAATACGAATCTTAATAAAAATAAAAAGTCTGCTATATGTATGGAATGTATATCATTTCTTGATAGATATATACGTATTTTAGATTTCCACGATGGATGCAAAAATTTATGTACTGTGCTGGTTTGACAGCCAATAGAATTATTTGGGATAAAACATTGATATTATATCAACATAAAAAAGAAAAATTTAAAAACAATTTAAAGGAATATCTAACGAGGGAAAAATTTGTAAAACTCTTATTAAGAGGATTGAGTTGCGCTGAAGATCCTAATATCATATTATCAATTTTTTAAATATTACAGCATTCAATCCTACATTATTTAACGAAAAGGAGCGTTATTTTGCTGTCCTGTGTATTCTTGAGAATCATTCGCGAAACAATTTGATCCTTGACTACATATTAAACAATTTTGAGACTGTAAAACCTAAGTAATAATATTTCTCGTGGTAAATATATACTGTCTTCTTAATTATAAAATTTGCTTAAAAAATTATTTTCTTTTATAGGTCAATGACCACAACTACATTAGTAACAATTATTCTTTCGAATGTTTATTCTTATCAACAAATTTTATGATTTACGTATTTATTAATCTAATACTGACTATCAATAATGTTGTTGTTATAGCTCGATTTAAATGAAATGTTTATCATGCGGAAGTATAATTTAACGCAACTTTAGATAAGTCAATTATATTAATAGATTTAATTATGTTTGTATCTTTAAATTAAGTATTTGCATTTTTGAGGTAAATCCTTTTCTAAAATCGGATAATGTGCTTGTGCATTAAACTATAAATTGAATTTTTATAATTAACTAATTAATATTAGACCGATGTTAAAAAATGTTGAGAAAATTTTTAGAAAATCATTAAATTATAAATTAATTATTTCGAATATATATGTATACATGTCCAAAAGCATGTATACATATAAGGTGTTTAATTAATGATAAAACTCGCATAAGATTGAGCGGACTAAACTAGTCGAAAAATCCTCTACTATTTTACAATTTTTGCAGTTAACAAATTATTAATTACTAAATATTGCCGAATATTGGTTTTCAATAATTTTTTATTCAAGTACTATTAACTTTACAGAGAAACAGCAGATGACAAAAATTGTTTATTTTTTTTTCATAGAGTTTTCGATTTAACTCTAAGAATTTTTTCAGAATTTCAGTGCCGCATTTTCTCATGTTGGTTGTCAATATAAAGAAAGTGTGGTAAAGAAAGATTGATAAGAAATTCTTAGAATTCTATGAAAAGAAAATAAACAATTTTTGTTTATTGATGTTTTTCTATAAAGTTGATAATACTTGAATAAAATATTATTAAAAACCAATATTCTATGATTTTTAATAATTGATATCTATTGATCTTGTTAACTATTGCGAACCTCTATAGAGTTTTTATCATTACTTACCAAATACCCTGTATAAAAAACAATTTTTTTTCTAATATATATATA